CAGAGTTCCACGAAATAGGTAGCATACCCCGGTTCTTTAAGTTTCTACTTTTAAGAGGGCAAGCTCGCTTCAGGAAGAGATTTTAACAGTGACCTTTTAATAATAAAGCCTAAAGGAAAGCTTTTAAAATGCAAGAAGCCGACTACTTTAAGTCAAGGTGTTCGGTACTGAGAGCCCAGCGCAGCAGGCTCCCAGGGACCCATACCAGCCCCCCACTCAGCCCTAGCCTCAGGCAACAAGAGGTTGCCTGTTAACTTCAGAGGATGCCGGCAGTTTAAAGAAACACCTCGTTTAGGGTGTTTGCCCTGAAGGAATGAACTTGCAGGAAGGCCTGGGGAATGCTGGGGGCAGACGCTTACTAGAGCACTGAATCAAGGGGAGCAGTCAGACTTCCTCTGCCACAGCCTCACGGGCCTCAGGAAAGTCTCCCCTAATTGAGCCCCAGCTGCCCAGACTGGCCCTGACACTTAGGTTTGAACAAAGACTTGGAAAGGGCGGGGGAGATGAAAGGGCACAGGGAAGATACTCCCTCAGGAACAGGCACAGAAAGGACAAAAAATGTGTTCCCACGTTCACACAGGCCGCCCGCTGGCCACCACTCGCTCTCCCTGTGGCAGGAGGCGTTACACATGAACCAGTCACTCCAGCTGAGGGGAGGTCTGGACAGTCCCTGGCTCTGCTGGCCGTACCCCTGCAAATCCTGAGAATGCTCAGAGGCTGCCAATTGATTTTGCCTGAGGGCCGAGGTGCTCCACTACTGAAGCACTGATACAGGGGACTAGAAAAAGTACATGCGACATAATTCAGGGTATGTGTGGACCAAGTGTCAGCTGGCCCCCTGGATTTGAGGCTCAGGGACAGGTGGCTTTGGGACCAGAAGCCCACAGGCCTTTGGGAGGGTCCAGGCTATCGGAGATTGTTAGTTTCCTAATAAGCTGGCTCTCTTCGTCACCCACCCGAGGCCACTTGAACAGGGAGGAAGCAGAGGCCCTGTGTGTCTCTGAGCCTCTCAGGTGGGGTCCAACAGAAGCCCACTCCAAGATGAGGGTGTTTGTGGAAGACCTCCCCACCCCCAGGAGAAGCTGGTAAGGAAGGAGAGAGGGAAATAACTCGCACAGAACAGCTCAGATTCTGAAGTCCTCCTCTGCAGCCAGGTCCTGAGGGGGCTCTGCGTGCCCATGACGATTGGGAGCTGCCTGCAGTGGGGGACCCAGCTGGGCTTTTGTACTCCACACCCAGTCMCCACTGGCAGAGCAGCCCCAGGAAGACCAAGACACTTGGCTCCTTCTGCAACCTGCAAGAGTGGGCCAAAGGGCCCCAATGGCCCCAGAGCACACACAACATTGGAAGGTGGCATCAGGAAACAGCGCTCCTTGGGTTTGCTGAGTTCATTCCATCCTCACAGGCTCTCCCAGGGCTACGCTGGTCACCATGTGGTGCCCAGGCACACTGGGACAGGCTTCAAGTTTCTCCTTGAATTCCCCTGTCCTGAGCTTGTTAGCATGGTGACTGCAGGCTCTGGGAACTCRACAGACACTTGTTCAGTGAGCAAACAAGAGAAAGGGGAACCACAGGTTTCCTCAGAGCAAGGGGACTCTCCTGAGCCCAGCAGCCTGTAGAGTTGCTAAGGTATGACAGAYATCTCTCACGGAGCAGCAAGTCCCCACTCCCACTGCCTGTGGAGGGCACATCCCCATCCCGCTGACTTTGGCCTGTAGCAGTTACTGGATGTGCTGTGGTCAGGAGGTAGCCAGCTGCCCTGGGAATAGTGTCACCAGAGTAGGTGCAGCCCTGCCAGTTTGTGTGACCCTCAGCAGCAACTGGGCTCCATCCACRGCTCCTGGAGCAGGAGGGACACTTGCAGCTGTAAAAGCTTTAGATTCTAAGATGCCAGGTAGTCTTTTTTTTTTTTTTAATGTAGCATTATGGTGGCACTAGCTGACAGATCTGCCACCTTCTACTAAAACATTTTCACAAACCAAAGAAAACACACAGACGATAAGGGGGTACCTGCACAGAGACTAACTGGAAACATTGTGTCTAAAATGATGTCACTCAGATTCTGGTTTTGCTGTGGTCATGAACCCACAGACTCATGAAGCTCAGTGCAGGGACATCCAGTTGACAAGTGCTTAGGTACTGGAAGGAAGCTGTAGGAGGGAACTGCTATAGGAAGAATTCCCAACTCACCTCCAGTGCAGCCCTGTACCCATTCACTGCTCTTGTTGGAAACTTGTGGATTAGAGCTACTCCCTGAGCCCTGAAGCACCAAGAGCAAATGCCTTTAGCCACTGGCTGTCCTCTGGTTCAGAGCCCAGCTCCCAAATCTTCTCCTAGCATCTGATGTGTGAAGGATCTGGGCCAAGGGCCCTGAGGGGACATGCTGTGGGTTGAGGCCAGGGCATGATTTGAAGCTGTGCTCATGTATCTCCACGCTATTTTTGGTTAAGTGTATAGTGTAGGTTTGGAAATGGGTGTCAGGGCCYCGGCAAGTCTACAGAGCCACCTTTCTGGCCATTCTGCCTGGGGGCTGATGATCCCAAACTGCCCAGCCTGGCTACACTCCCTGGGCTTACCAGCACTGTTCTCTAAGGTTGTTCCCATGAYCCCGGGACCCTGTTATATGCACATGGGGATGTGACTGTGATCTGAAAATGCCCCTGTGGCTTTGTGGCTTCAGTGGGCAACCCACCTAACTTCAAAACTCATGAGGGGCATCCCGAGGGCCAGAGGCAGGAAGAAAGCTCTCCACCACCCAAGTCCTGGCTGTCCCACCAACAGGACTGCTGCCAGCCACAGATCACAAAATGGGAGCTTCGTGCCAACAGGATCTCAGGTAGCTAACGGAGCCAACCTCATCCTTGAAGCCAGAGTCCATCCCACATTCCCTGACTGCAGCTCTGYTCCTGTTGGGYCAGCCGGGCAGGAGCTCAGTGCCYGAGGCAGCTTGGCACATGTGYAGGATCTGCCATCCTCCTCTGCTAGGCAGAAGTGCCCTGGATGGGAGTGCCATYCACTGCCTGGGAACCAGAAGGGGCAGCAGCTGACCTGAGTCTGGAGCCCAGGGCGGCCCCACCCAGCACTACAGAGACTCAGGACTCAGTGGATGCTGCAGATGTCTCACTCTAAGAAGACCTCACAGGCACATTAGTCCACATTTGATCCTGGAATCTGTGACCATGCAACCTTCCAAGGCAGAGGGACCTTAGACTGAGGGTTTGAGAAGTGGGGGAAGGTCCTGGACCATCCAGCCTGATGTCATCACAGGACACTAGCAAGTGGAGGTAGGAGGCAGGAGAGCCAGACAAGACCTGGGGTGGAGCAGAGGGCCAGAGACGCGGCCTGAGAAGCACCGTGAGCAGTTGAGGTTGACCGAGGGTGAGAAAGCAGCCACCATCAAAATTAAGTGGCTTAGAAAACAAGAGACACGTCCCACTGGCCCCCTCAGGAAATGTTGCCCCGCTGACACCTTGATTGTCTCCCAGAGGCACCCGATTGGACTTCAGACCTCCAGCACTGCGTGAGGATCTATTTAAGACACTGCATTTGTGGGGATTGGTTTCAGCACCAGGACATGAGGACAGAGACACAGGCCATTTCAAAGGCAGGGACCAGCAAGCAAAGCCACGTCCCAGTGTGCTGAAGCTTCTTCCTCCTGCTGACCTGCTTGGGGAGTGATGAAGACATCACCKTGATGGTCTCCCAGAGACACCCTCAGGTATTGTGTTCACCTACAACTAAAAAAAATTTTAAAAAGAAGCCAATTGGGTACTCTACGCGTATGTTGAAATATCACACAGAACCCCAGGAAACTGAGTCAGCTTTTGTGCACGTTTTATGGAGCTATATTACAATTTGAAAGTTTTCAGTGGAAACATCGGGGATGCTAAACTTTAGAGATTTTTTAAAAAAATAATAAAGGAATGCTATGTTATCCAAGCTTGCAAATTATTATTCCCTCATCACTAAGCCATCTCAACGAAAGTAACATACAGAATGCATCAGTTTTAATCCATTTAGAAAACACAAAATATCAATTTGATATTTTATTTAACTATGATATGTGAATCCAGACTGAATGCCAGCAGCCTCTTTAAACGGGAGGTAATCACTAACCCTACAGAGATTTGATATTAGTAGAAGGCAACCTCTTTAGGTAGATCCGAGGCAATCAGGAAAAAAAAAAAAATCCCCCTATTACTGCCATAGAATGAAACACAATACTCATGATGAAAGGCCTCCTTCGTCCCAGATTTTTCCAACAGAAATGGACAACTTATGCTTCACTGCTCCACATTATCTATGAGCATAACCTAGAACACAACCTAAATGCTAAGCAGCACAGCTTCCCTATTCACAGTATTTTATATATATGTGAGGGCATATTAGGGAGCCATTAACATTGTTTTTAAGAAATAAAGTCAAGAGAAAAATGTTCTAAAAGAAGTGCAAGTAAAAGCAGCTTATATAAAAATAAAATCTGTATATAGGGCTGGAGCTGTGGCTCAGTGGTAGAGTGCTCACCTGGATCCCAGCACCACATAAAACTAAATAAACAAAATAAAGTATTATATCCATCTATGACTAAAAATATTTTTAAAAAATCTGTCTCTCTCTCTATATATACACATACACATACATATTCTAAATTTGTAAAATAAATAATCCACCATGTTTGTTCTCTGTGGAGGTTATATTGAGTTAAACCCCTGGCAGTAGGGCATTGGTACCTCCCCATATCATGAAAAGAGCATTTGAAACTTTTATAATTAGAAAACGACCTGACCCTTTGTTCAGTAACCATAGTGTTGGGACAGGCCCTCTGGTCTCTGGGGCCACCCAGCCCAGCCCACGAGACCCTGGGGAGGTGGGATGGCTTAGGCACCCCAGTGCAGGACGGCCAGGGCTGCCCACCGCTGCCCAGGGTCATAGCACTGCCCATGGGTGGATGCCAGGCCTGAGCCTCCCGAGGCTGGGTTAGGACAGTACAGGGCACTTACCTGTTGCGCGGTCCCAGGCGCTGGCAGGCCACGGTGGCGGTGGCGTGCTTCCCGCCATTCCCCACCTCCTGCTTCACGTCCCACTGCCGGGGCTCGCTGGTCCACGCGCTCAGGATGTTCACRCCCTTCTTCACCTTGGCCCTGCGGATGGAGACATGGAGACGGTGAGAGCCGCAGCATTAGACTGGCCTTCCCAAAGGTGCCCGGCTCGCCGAAACTGCTGTGTGGCTCCTTTTCCGCTTGCCCATATTTTCACAGTCGGTGTGCAAGATGGTGGCTGTGGGGCAGGGGAGGAGGATGGAGGGGGAAGTGAGGAGACCTGTCACTGCAGACCAGGGAGCCAGGTACCTCCTGTCCTGAGCCAGGTGGGAGAGGGGGAGGAGGGGGAGACCTGCTGCAGACCAGGGAGTCAGGTACCTTCTGTCCTGGGCCAGGGGGGGAGTGGGGGGAGACCTGCTGCAGACCTGGGAGCCAAGTACCTCCTATCCTGGGCAGGTGGGAGAGGGGGAGGGGAGGGGGAGACCTGCTGCAGACCAGGGAGCCAGGTACCTCCTGTCTTGCACCAGGTGGGAGAGGGGGAGGAGGGGGAGACCTGCTGTAGGTACCTCCTGTCCTGCGCCAGGTGGGGGAGGGGAACCCAGATGTTCCTTAGACCAGCACTAGAATGGCAGCTAGTTTGGGCACACTGCCAGGGTTAGCTGTCCTCAATCCAAGTGCGAGKCCTGCTGGGCATGTTTGTACATGTCTGGAGACATTCTGGGTCATCGCAGCTGGGGTGGGTATGATGTCATCTAGTGGATAGAGGCCAAGCAGCCTGCAAGGCCTYGGAGAGCCGCACAACACAGAAGAAGCCAAAGGTCAGCAGTGCTGGGTTGTGTCACATTTACGATGTCTCTGTGCCTCCCTCCCCTCCTCTGTAAAGAGAGGGGGTGRGCATAACACCCCCAATGTAACACTGGTGTTTGAATGTGTCAACACACAGGAGCACAGGGGGTAGCATCAGCCACACAGAACACTCCTGAGGACAGCCCACCATGTCCCCGCCTCTCCAGGTGTCTCCTGCTCAGTCTGGAGGCTGCATCCCACTCTGCCAAAGCCAACCAGGACCCSGAGAGCAGGCAGACAGCTCCTCCCACTGCTGTCATTTCCTCACCCCCAGCCAGCTCTCAGGACCTCSGTGTCACCACTAAGCTGCTGAGAAAAGCGTGGAATTGAGCGCGAACATCAGGGGACTCTCGCCCCTGATCCCACTTAGAGGAGGGCAAAGGACTGTTTCAAAGGCACGAGCCCCCTGTACGGAGAGGAGACTCCACCTGGCAACAGGTCTGGAACCTGGGAAAAGCAAGTTCTGCAGGAGAGATGGATGAGCAGCACTTCAGCAGCCGCAAGAGAGAAGAGCTGGGGACAAGAACAGCGCAAGCCACAGGACTCCAGGCCCAGGGCACCAGCTGGCTCTGAGAGCAGTTCATAAATAAAGAGGGTTAGAGCCGGGGTCTGCTTAGGAGGCAGCCCTACTAGCACGCCTCCCTGTCCCTGCAAGGGGGGTCTGCCTGAACTCCACACAGGGCCCACGTACCAGGACGAGAACTGGGGCCCCTCACTGCAAAGACGTGACCTGCGCACACTGAACACTATTCCTAGTTCTTTCCAAGCTGGACCTTCACCTTCCAGGAAAAATATAGGATACTAGAGAATTCCACTGTCCTAAAGCAAAGTCCTACAGCACTGTGGCTGGGGCCACTTGAAACAGGTTCCTTCTCATGRGACTGCCATCTGCGAGTCCCAACCATAGGCCCGAGTTTCTGTTAATAAAAGACCACAGGGAAGGGAAGAGGCATGGAGGGTTGGAGGGACAGCCCAGAGGGAGCCTCCAAGGAGGTRAGGACAGGAGGTGGAAGACAGGGACACAGGAAACCAAGAGAGCAGCTTCCCAGTTCCACATGCGAATCACAGAGAGGAGAGAGAGCATTCCCGGGGAGCACTTTAAGAACATTCCCCCAACTTGGAGGCCAGTCGTTTTCAGAGAGGAAGAGCCCACTGGGCATTGTCACATGAAGTGAGGACCGCAGCACAGCAGGCTGGGCACTCAGAACACATCAGAGCTCTGGGCACACAGGGGCCAAGGTCACAGGCTCCAGAGAGAGCAGCCTCAGGGGACCTAGAAAATGAAGGGAAACATCTTAAACATCCCTGGGGAGGGGTTTTCCAACCTGGATTCCTGCCTCCAGCCAATGCATGAGTTCAATGCTTCTACACACGTGAGTTCTCAGAAACTTTATTTCCTATACCCAGGCTGGGAAATGTCTGGGAAGTGCTCCACCCACCCAGAGGGTCATCCCAGGGGTCACAAGACGACCCAGAGTACAGCAGAGGCGGAGGCTCCAGCGATGGCAGCAAGGCCCCTGGGTAACTCAGAATCCACCAGCAGAGACATTTCCCAGAAGCTGCGGTTTCCTAATAAATGCATCGTGAATKGCTGCTTTACAAAGGATTTAGACAACTATTGGAGATCCTGGCAATGAAGAAAAGGTAAATACACTGAGAATCAAGGAAAAGAATAGAACAAATCAGCTTTGGATTGTAACTGTAAAACATTATGCAAAAAAGGAAAAGTCATCATGATTTTTTTTTTTAATTTATTTATTTTTATTTATTTATTTTTATTATTTTGTTTATTGGTTGTTCACAACATTACAAAGCTCATGACATATCATATTTCATACATTAGATTGAAGTGGGTTATGAACTCCTAATTTTACCCCAAATGCAGATTGCAGAATCACGTCAGTTACACATCATGATTTAATACTCCATTTTGCCACGATTCACACACACATTTACAGTATTTTCAACACTCAGTACTAATCGGAACAAAAYGGGATGATTACCCTGGAGGTAAGGAGCTAGAAGGGAGGGCACTGGTGTAGGGAAGAAGGGTGAAATCTGGCTTGACCCTCCACAGTGGGAAATCTGTAGATCTTGCCCAAAGCTCAAACAGGAGGAAATCCACACCCGCATGACACTTAGTGACACGGATRTAAATTCCAGACAAAGAGGGCATTTTGCAGGACAGAGAAATGGAGCAGCTGTGACATTTTCAGTTCTGAAATAGTTAAATCACTTGAGATTAACAAGAATTGCAATAAATAAAACTACAGAGTTCCTTGTGCACTTGACCCAGTTTGCCCCCATGTGGACACCACAGACAGTCACGGTTCACGGTCAAGGTCAGGAGATGTGTTGGTACAGTACCACCCAAGGGGGAAGGACCCCAGGCTCCAGCACTCACAGACCTTCTTCCTTTGTGAACTCCAGGTGCGTGGAGTCAGGRATCCGCAGCACAAGCAAGACATGGAGCTGTTCCCCGGCCACGAGGGGACCCTCCTGACCCCTCCACGGTGGCCCATCCTCACCCTAATCCTGAAAACAGCTCTGCTCTCTTGTATCAATTCAAGATTCACATACAACTGCTTGACTTAACATTATGCGCACGCTTGCATCTTATGAGAGGATCTGCTAAAACAGTTGCACACACACACAAACACACACACACACACACACACACACACACACACACACACACGCTCCTGCCCTGCTTGTCTCCCAGAGTCAAGCAGCTCAAGGGAGCAGCTAAAGGCTATTCAGAGCTGAGAAGGCCATTGCTGGGTGGTCACCAGGAGGTGGGGGAGGTAGTCATGAATCAACCTTCCCCTGCCTGACTCAGGGGTGTCCAAATGAGCYGCAGGGCAGCCCGAGCCTCTCAGCCACAGCCCATCTTCTCTAGAGCAATCTGAGTCTCATGTTAAAGTGATTTGCTAAATAATCCTGCTACCCTGCGTGTGAAGGCCAATACCTAGAGACGCACCCATGTGGGAAAGCCCTTTGCTCCTAGCACAGGGAACATGCCGCCCACTGTCTCCCACAGGATCTCCCACCCTGCACATGAAGGCGGCAGACAACATCGCCTTGCTAGCATTTGGGTTTTGCTCAAATTCCAGATTTCACTGAAGCTACATTTRTTGTCCCCACTCAGGAGTTCACACAGGTGGGGGACTCCACCATGCGCGATGTTGGTCTTGGGGTGGAGGAAGTGGCCACGGAGGTGGGGGCGGGTGTGGGAGGCCACTGGTGGTCAGGTGTGTCCTCTGATGACAACCAGGGCTACTGTCTACTTCAGGGATGAGATGTGCCTGGAGTTTGGGTTTTTGGATCAGAAGTTTTGCAATCAGAATCAGCATTAAAGATTCAGTGGAAGGAGGGCTGAGGGTGTGGCTCAGTGGAAGAGCCCTGGGTCCCATCCCCAGCACACAGTCATACAAACACAAAGTCAGAGGACTTGGAGGACGCCTGGCTTCTGAGTAAGAGGCACGGATGGTGGGCCAGTGGCTTTGTGAGAGGCTGACCTTTCTCAGCTTGGACACAGGGAGGGAAAGGACAGTGAGCCATGGTGCAGGGGCAGACTTGGCCCTGCCTTGGGAGTTGCCCAGGACTTTCTTCATCATTCCCTATACAAAGTGTGGCTTGGTTTCTTGGAACCCTGTTATGATTTAGACGTGGTGTCCCCTAAAAGCTCACATGTGAGACAATGCAAGGAGGTTTGGAGGAGGAKTCATTGGGGTATAGCCTTAACCTAGTCAGTGAACTAATCCCTAATGAGATTAACTGAGTGGCGACTAGAGGCACGTGGGGTGTGGCTAGAGGAGTGGGCAGTGGGGGCGTGGCTTGGGTGTATCTGGCGAGTGGAGTCTCTGYTTCCTGATYATCTTGGGAGCCGCTTCCTCTGCCACACTCTTCCACCACGATGTCCTGCCTCACCTTGGACCCTGAGGGATGGAGCCAGCTSTCCATGGACTCAGACTTCTGAAACCACAAGCCCTCAAATAAACTTTTCCTCCTTTAAAATTGTTCTGGTYGGGTCTTTTAGTCACAGCAGCAAAAAAGCTGACTGAAACAATCCTGATTTTTGGGACTTCCACTGCGGGTCACCCGGGAGATGATTCCAGCTTAGGGACTCAGCTGAAGGACACAGAGGCGGCCATCTTTCATTCGCCACGTCACCATCGGTCCCAACAGTTCCTGGCACTGTGCTGGATACTGGATGTCCCGGCACAGGGCTCAGGGGTGGGCCTTGCCTGGCGGCT